TTAGAATAAATATTTAATGAAATACTTTCCCGATTATTTTAGCGGTTGAACAAGCATACAACATGAATTCAGGTTCATTCACAACTCAGAGTTGCCGCCTCCAGTGCCAGTAAGATTCTTGTGACTTGTGTGAGTGTGATATCTCCAGGCCCTATCTGGTTCCATTTCACTTTGATTACCCTGTCAAACAAGTCAGCCTTCGCCCCTGAGTAGGACCTACTACTAGTGGCACCCTCCAACCACTTGCTGTACCAGTGTGGGTTTGTGTGTCTGTTTGCTTTTATATTGGTTTTCTTTTCCATATTCTTCTCTGTGTCGTCTACAAAGGTTCTATAGAACAAATCCTAGTTGGTGATAATAAGCCGCCGTTGGTGAGTGTTTTACGCGCTCGCAACTGCGTAAGGCTACATGTATATGAGCGCTCGGGACAACTTTAATCTAACCTTTTTCAATTGGTAGGAAATTATTAATTTTGCCACGGTGGCGGCCGAAACCTACTCTAATCGATTTTTGAACCACCATACCAAGGGATCTTTTACTTGAGCAACTTGCGCACAGGACCTCCGAGATTTTTCGCCCTTGTCCGAGAAGGCTAGGTGTAGATCTTTCCTACCATAAGATCAGGGGTGTGGCTGAAAAACCAGCGGTACGAAGGAGCCAAGGAGCAACAGTAGAAAAGTTGCAGAAGGGGTCAGGAGCCCAGAAAAGAAGCAAAGGAGGTGAGGGGGGTGAGGGGCAGGAAGTGGAGACGAAAGCAGACCATCGAACGTTGTTATAGAGGGGAAAAGGATGTGAAAGAGAATGTTTTAAAGAAGCAACTTTTCCGTCGCTATCCAGATTCGAAATCGGGACCTATTGAATGGGTGGCGAACACCTTAATCTCTTGACCTCGAGAAACCCCGAATTTACTCTAACGGCCACCTGTCCAAGACGATCACCTGTACAAACGACCACTTACCACTCTCCCACCTTGCGTTTGGGTTGTCTTTTTTAAAAATATATAATAATTATCATTGCGACACCTGTCTAGGAATAACCACTACTCGTCATAATTGAACGGGTGTGGGGGTGGGGGGGGGCATCTTGGATAATTTCGATTGTAATTGAAAAACAATTGTACTGTTGTTCGCACCTCACTTTCAAGTGATGCTGGCACCATACAAAATTTGGTTAAAGTCAATGAATGCCTCATTAGGAATGTACTCTGCCTGCTACACACACCCAGGGGTCTCCATGGCACTCGATCTCTGTGGGGCCTTTTTTTTTTATTTGTGTCGCCGCATCGTCATTGGCAAGCGAAGCCTTGATTTTAACGTTTGTTTTTCAAGGTCACCGATCGAATTCGGTCGAGTTGTGCCACGAAGGTAGCCTTTAATAAATTGTGTTCCTCCAAGGAAGACAACCGGACTGGCCCCGATTAATTCGACTGAATTTAGATTGGCAGTGTGCACTGGGTGTTACAGATGTGCGTTTGCCACGCCTTATCTAAAAAATGAGTGCACCGTGTGATCTTAACCGTACTTCTTCATTATATCACTGTGCTGCTCTAGTATTTATAGCCCCCCACACACGAGAGCCGCTTACATAACTTGGTGGGAGAAAGGGAAGGG